GAAAGAACCAGTGCTTGTGATATAAGAAGACATGGCCCATTAAGGAATCACAGGTAAAAATATAGTATTTGTTTATGATGAGGCTTTTTTATAGTCGTTCTGCCTTCCCTGAGATTACAATACTAGACATACTTGAACAAATGATCATATAAATCTATTTTTGTGGAATATAGTATCCCTGGACTGACTACAGTATGTTTCTCAATAGGTATGAGTTTGCAGTGAAATTTGGCTTTTAATTGACTAGCTCAAATTACCTCTAGCCTAAGTAACTGGAAAAAGTTAGTAACAAAAATTTAGTACCTATCTTTATAGTACCTATAAAGATACAGAGATTGACATGCATCTGTGTTAAATATTATTCACTTAAAGTAAGAATATCAGTAATGAAGGACATTTTTTCCCCCTGCAGAATACTTAAATAAGATATCTTCACTGCTATACACTGATATTAGGCATGGAAATTTTTTGAAAAAGCAAACAAACACACAAAAAATTCATATGGTTTTTAATGCAATTCTTTCAAATGGCATCGCAATAGCATTGGGGTAGCAAGAACTATATCTTCTGATGAGATTGTTGCTCATGGTTGATAAATATGATAAAGAAACGACTTACCACCAAAAACATGACCACCAATGATTTACTGTGAAGAAGGTAGCTGCAGACAGGCCACAAATACATCATGATGATGTAGCAGAATGAAAGCACAGCAAAGCCAGAAAGAGTGGATGTAGCACTGCCTAACATAGCTGGGGTATTGCTGTTGGAAAGCCACAGGTTTACCAAAATTGAAAATTGCAGATAAGTTTTAATGCAGATGAATGTAAACACATGGAGGAAAAGAACTCTACCTAGACATTATCTACTGAAAGGTTCTATCTTAATCAGTTATTGCATCTCAGGAAATAGATCATGGAAGCATTGTGGATCATTCTAGGGTGATATCTGCCCAGAAGGCAAACCAAAATATTACACATTATTAGAAAAAGGAAAGAATCAAAGAAAAAAAGACAGAAGAAAAAATATAATGCTACTGTCCATCCATATCTTTAGCATCACATACAGTCCTGTATTCTCAGCCATGGACATGTGTAGTAGAATAAGGAGAGTGGAAGGTGGCAAAGATAAGTAGAAGTATGAAACAACTGCTTTATAGGTAGATAGATTAGCATTCTTTAATAAAGAAAGATTCCTTAGGTGAATATTCTAAGAGTGTATGAAATCATAAGCACCATGGAGAATGTGAAGAGGGACTGATTATTCACTAGTCACAACACAGGAATAAAGAAATTAATCTAAGCAAACAGATACCATCAAAAACATTGCTGCAGGATGTTAGGGAATCCAGAAACGTAAATTGGTTCAAATAGACTTTGATAAATGCACGGGTGAAAAGACCATTAAAAACACTAAAGACACAGATAAAAACACTGACAACTGCCAGGTTGCAGGAAGTTTATGCAGTAAAGGTACAGCAAGGGAAGCATGACCTTATGATACCCTTTTCTCACTATCTGTTAGTGAGAACACAGATGAGACTATGGACTATATATACACCTTACTTTAGCCTGAGCATAATTCCACACAGTCCTGAGTAGTGGTAGTGTCCACAATCTATGCT